AATATATCCAAGAAAAAAGTCTGAAAGTTAGATGGTTTAGGTGAATTGTTGCTTTGTTCCTCAGCAGTCAGTCTAGGTCTAAGCCCATCAGCATATGACATTCCCCTGGCAACTGTAATTGAATCAGTGATGGGTCATCTGGTATGAGAAAGTTGATCAGACCATAAAAGACATATTCTATAATAAGGGGTGAAGTTTTCTCTATATTTTTCCTATAAATGAATGGGTAAGCTTTTTTGTTGTTCACTTGTTTGTTTTGCTGTGCAATTTTTTTTAAAATTGGGGTAAAATTTACCATCATAACCATTCTTAAGTTTACAGTTCATAGTGTTAAACACATTTACATTATTTTGCTATGAATCTCCAGAAATCTTTCCATCTTGCAGAGCTGAAATTCTATGCCCATTAACTAACTCCCATTCCATGTCTTGTAGTTCTGGAAGTATAAAAAGGTTTCTAACTTTATTTATGAAATTTGTTTTATTTACCCATAGCGCTGATATGACCTTACAGAGTGACCCATGGCATCCTTGCATAAACACTGCAGCGAAAAAGTTAATTCTCAGACTGTGACACTCTTGAGTAACTACCTCAAAGCCTGTGTTACATAATCTGCTAGGTTTTCTGATATTCTAGCACTAGCTACAAGATGTTTGAGTAACTCCTTAAATATTATAAGTTCTTTATTCATTTTATAGATTTAATAAGGTCTACCATCTCTTATATTCGATAATAAGGATATTGAATACAAGGATGTTTACTGTATTGTTACTTATTATAGTAAACATTTGTCAGAAAACAAATTGCCCCAAAATGTTAAATAAATTATATAGTTACAGCATCAAAGATTACTCCACTGCAACCTACAACCCTGCTATTAAAAAGCTATGATAGTGTGGAAATATGTTCATTATATATTGTTGAGTAGAAAAACCTGGTTACCAATTGTATAGTTGAATTTCTATGTTAAAGAATTAAAAATGTTATGTTTGAGTATATGCCTGTATGTGTATGTGTTCTGTATTATACATACACACATATAGGTAGCATGGAGAGTGACACAGAAACAGAGAGACAGGGATAAAAATAGAGAGAGAAAATCTTATCTACCTTCACATTCAGTACAGGAAAATGCACTGGTACCTAAAAACTGGAGGAGTAATAATATATTAACTATGATTGTCTTTAGTGGGTGGGAGTGTAGGTAACTTTTACTATTTCTATTTTCCAATTATTTGATAATTGTATAATCTTACATTATCTTTGTAGTTTGTGTAATGTTTTAAGTAAAAAAAAAAGTTTTATATCCAAATTTTCAGTCATTTCTAATAAAAGGTACATCAACATAACATCATTATTTCATCTTTAGTCCACAAATAAAATTCATACCACATTTCCTAATATTATGAAATTAAATTTTGGCAGAGTCAATAAATAATATCACCCAATAAAATAAAATAAATCTTGAATGGTTCACTTTAATTAAGCATTACATGAAAATATGCTAGATAAGAAAGCAGACATTAAATACATCTCCTCAAATAATTCTTAACATCCCAAGGTCAACAACCAAGAATTGTGTTCACCCAAGTTAACATTCTACGATTACTTGCAACATATATAATTTAAAATAATCAAATCACCTGGAATTTTAAAGTAAGAGAATTCAGAGGTCTCTGAGAGTTAAGCATTTATTATTCTGTGAGCCAATGTACTTAGGAGGCAGGAAAATTGATGTTTGCCTTGTGTAGAATGAAAGCATATGGGTTTAATTACTTTTAAATGTAGCACTCCTGAAATCAGAGCCAAGATTAAATGAGGAAAATATGTTTCCTGTACTAGTTTACTCTTGGGAACTGTTTTGACTAGCATGCAATTTTTCCTATTTTGTGAAATTCCTTTTCTCTACTGCCCATGACCCAGGACTTAAACTTTAGTATTTCTTCACACCATAAGTGGTAGGGTAGGTGACCTGCTTTGATCTGGTGGATAGTTATGGAGATAGTGGAAAAATAAAGGCACATCTGAGAGGATAAAATTCAACCAATAATGACCAGTCACAAAAATGAGTGTGAACGTTTTATCAGATTATCAAAATTGTAAATGGTGGGCAGAGTACAACTGGGAAGCCCGATACCTGAGTCCTAATCCAGATTTCTTCCAGTAGTTTTGTGAGCTCGGGCAAGACAAAGTCTTTGGGAATCAGTTTCTTCAATTTAGAAAAAGGTTTGGGTCACGATTATTAAATTATTAACATTCCTTTTATTAACCGGTACACCTAGTAAGTTGCATACTACTGTGGACACCTAACTACTCTCAGATACTGCTTTGGCAACAGTGAAAAATATCCATTTCAATACTATTTAAAAGAGTAAGTGCACTACTATCACTTGAAAAATGTGATGCTCTATAAACCACTAGAATATTGTTATCCCTGAACAGTTAATTTCTTTCATTTAGAAAACTTTAATCTCCTTCTGATCTAAAATGCTGTTGTTTGTTTACTTATGTAACACTACTATTTTCTTGATTACTGAAACTTAAATTCTGCATAAAAATTACTTTTTATTACTAATACTTAAATTTCTAGGGAAATGTTTTTTTGGTAATGTTTTAAAATATTCATTACATTTCTATTTTCTTTACTTTGAAGTGTCAGCATTTTTAGTGATAATACAATTTAAAATTCTGAAAATCTATAGGCTTACCCTATAGATTTAATTTGAATTAAAATTCCCTTATTTTATAAATTAATGAAAACTTAATCAGCAAATTTCTACATCAGCTATTTTCATCTCATGGCACACATAAACTAATTACTAAAATTCTGCAGTACACCCAACCTGACAAAAAAATTGTTTTTAACTTATTCACACTGGATGGCTATCATAGTGTTGTCATTTTATTATTTGACAATCTAAGGGAAAAGAGGTCAGTGCATGTTTTAAAAATTCTTGTGGCACACCAGTTAAAAATCACTGATGTACATTGATATTTGAGACTTTTAAAGGAAATATGGGGAAACTATATCCTTTAAATAGATGAATATATTCAAGAGACTATTACTAGGCTTGATTCTCTCCTTGAAATCTCAGAAGGTAAAGAGAACTATATTTTCGCCTACCTCCCAAAAGTCAGCTTTATTTCTGCTACAGGAGAAGAGTTGACTTCATTCAACTAGATAATTCAATCAGCACTGGTTGCTATAAACAGGAAATTATACACATATATATTTTAATCAAAGTAAGACAAAAGTATTCTTTTGAAGGAAATTGCTTGTTGGGTCTTTGCAAACATTTCAATTTCTCTTTTCATCCTACCTCACAAGCAACACTAAGAAATTAGATTTCTTCTTAGGAGGTCCCTAAGTAGAGGTCACCTCCATATTCTCTTTTGAGTGCTATGACCTAGACCAGTGGTTGGCAAACTGCAGCTCACGAGCCACATGTGGCTCTTTGGCCCCTTGAGTGTGGCTCTTCCACAAAATACGGACTTCTGCGCATGGGCCATGAAGTTTCAATCGCACTGTACATGCGTGCCCACACGTGGTATTTTGTGGAAGAGCCACACTCAAGGGGCCAAAGAGCCGCATGTGGCTCGCGAGCCGCAGTTTGCCAACCACTGACCTAGACTGACCAGGAAAGCAAAGATTTCTTCTTATATATGCCATTATCAACCCCATCTATGTTAACCTTCTCATACATACGAAATAGGGAAATATAGGGCTCATGGTAGTCAATAATGAAAAAAATGAACATCAATAAACCATATGTGCCATATCCTTTACATTAATTAATTTCATTCAATTCTGACAACTTAGAGGTGATAATGGTAACCCACTAAATGTGATAATGTAGAAGAAAATGATCAGGAAGTTGAAATATTAATGGGAAATCTATGACACGTTTATGATTTCACAGCCATAAAAGTAGCTATCCTTTTTTCTATTTTTCCTTTTACTTCCTGGAATTTGCAAGTATATTTTTAGCTTTGAACAGCTAATTAGATGCAATAAGCACTTAACAATCTATTCTGGTAGGCACTGTGTTTGGTACTATGGGGGACACACAGATGAGTAAGAGGCCCTAAATTCCATGCTGATAATACATGTTGCTGGTAATGATTAAGTATTCTCCTAGTTCAGGCTGTATAAAAATGTCGTTTATTTGTCTGTAGCACTGATGTGACCTTACAAAGGGACCCATGACATCTTTCTTACCTTGCATATTCACTGTAGCAAGATTAATTCTCAGAGTGTGAAACTCCTGAGTGACTATCTCAACGCCTATGTTCCATAACCTGCCGGTTTTTCTAACATTCTAATCCTAGATACAAAGCATTTGACTAAATCCTTAAATATTATGAATTCTGTTTCTACTTTATAGATGTCTACAGCTATTTCTTAAGGGAAAGATAATCTCTGGATAATAATACGTGATTGTAGGATCTGAGAGGTAAAATGTGTGTGTAAGATTGATATAACACAGAGGGCTTGAGAAAATTCTCTGAGGCCACGTGAGAGCATGAAATGGGCATGTGGCTTCTGGAGGGTGACCCACTTAATCAGGTCTAGCTAATCCCAACTCAGTCACATGCTAAGTGTGTGGCAACTTGATTTCTCTGAGTCTCAGTATTTTATCTGCAAAATGAGACTAATAATACCAACCCTGATGAGTTGTTGTAAAGATGGAAATAACATTTGTAAAGACTCAGCAGAGAGAATAAAATAGGTGCTTAATAAATAGTAACTGCTTATTCTTATCCATTATTGCATTGCACGTTGGCTAAAGTAGCATTTCAACTCCGAGAGCGTTCACTTGGTCTGTGATAAACTAGCTGACCAATTCAAGTATGAGTCCAATAAATAGAAGGATATGCAGAGATCTAATAAATAAAAACTGATTGGACATTTTCTACAAGTTACCGTCTCGTACACACAGCTGTCTTCCAAATACAAGCTATAAGACTCTGGATTAGTTAAAAGGACAAAAATTGCTTTTATCAATTTTATGGCTTCAGTCTGGAAAATAATAATAGTGATAATGACCTTGAATTCTTGTGGAATTTCCATAACTAATGTGTAAGTATATCACTACCATGGAATGGATATCTTTTTGGTATCACTGAAACAATAAAGCGAGATAGAATTTAAAAAGACAAATTTCAGAGGTCTCCCCATGACAAAGTGCCTGTGATTGTCACATAAGCCGAGAACAGGTAAAGCTCATTCATATTAAAACATAAGACAGAATTCTTAAATAAAATGCCTCAATGATTAGCATTCTACTGAACTACTCCCTCAGTTGACCAAAATTCTAGCTTGCAAAGTGCAAATGCAACTGCTTTGAGCTAAAGATCAATTTTAGAATAATATATTCATACTCCCCAGCAACCATTCACTTAAAAACCTGAATCTAGATGTATAATCATATATAAATTCGATTATTTCTATAGTTATTGTACCTAAATGGTTTCCTTTTTACTATTGGGAATAAACATACTTAAATAACCTGAACAGCATAGAGAAAGTGATCACTGATCACCTGATTGTAAGAATCCTCAGCACATGATAAAGGGTATTTTAAAGGTAAGAGCATTCTGATGATTAGAGCTTTTCATTTGAGGTTTATCTACAGCTCAACAACCACTTTCCATGTTTTCACTGGTTAAGCTCCAAAGCATCCTTTTCATGATCAGCAGAAGTGGCTGGCATTTAATTTAAAATAAATATTCTAACTATAAATAACTGGATACGTAGTTTTAAAACTATGGCTAACATTACTGAATTAATAACTAAATAATGCAAGAAGTAGAATTATCAAATCACTTTTGAGAACACAGTTCTGCTTGGAGGACTCCATGGAGGAAGTGCCTCATTTTCAAGAAAGGAATGACGTTTTTTTACTTTTCGTTCCATTCTTTCCTGCCTTTCTTTCTTTTCCTAAAAAGAAAAGAAAAAATTATAAATTTATATACATGCATAAACAGAACAAAATAGTCCTATATAATAAAAGAGAAACATGCAAATTAACCATCCCTCTGCTATGCTCAAGCCATGCCCACCAGCCACTCCCACCAGCCAATCAGGAGCGAGTATGCAAATTAACCCAACTAAGATGGCGGTGGCCACAGAGCTGGAGCGAGCAAGAGGCTTGGGTCCTGCCTGCCCTGGCCGGCCCATGGCTCTACTCAAGGCTACAGAGTTTCAATTATAGAAGATAAATAAATCCCAGAAAAAAAGGAGAGGCTGGGAGCTTGGGTCACCGGGGGGTGTGGCCAGCCTGAAAAAAGCCATCAGCCCCTCAACCAGGCTGACCAGGCACCCCAGCAGGACCCCCCTCTCTGAAGGGGGTGTGGCCAGCCTGAAAACAGCCCTCAGCCCCTCACCCAGGCTGGCCAGGCACCCCAGCAGGACCCCCACCCTGATCCGGGACACCCTTCAGGGCAAACTAGCCAGCCCCCACCCGTGCACCAGGCCTCTATCCTATATAATAAAAGGGTAATATGCAAATTGACCCTACCAGCAGAACGACTAGGAATGACTGGTCACTATGACACACACTGACCACCAGGGGGCAGACGCTAAATGCAGAAGCTGCCCCTGGTGGTCAGTGCGCTCCCCAGGCTGATGGCTGCCAGCACAGCGGTGGTGGCGGGAGCCTCTCCCGCCGCCTCAGCAGTGCTAAGGATGTCCAACTACAGCTTAGGCCTGCTCCCCGCTGGCAAGTGGACATCCCCCAAGGGCTCCCAGGCTGCCAGAGGGATGTCTGACTGCCAGCTTAGGCCCGATACCCCAGGAGCAGGCCTAAGCCAGCAGGTGGACATCCCCTGAGGGGTCCCAGACTGCGAGAGGACACAGGCCGGGCTGAGGGACCCCCCCACCCTGAGTGCACAAATTTTTGTGCACCAGGCCTCTAGTCCATTATAAGATATTTAAATGTCATTTCCTAGTTTAATTGGTTAAAAACAAATAGCAGCTAGGGAATATTGCTACTTTATAATAAAAATAGGTATTAATGCAGCACTTAATTTTTTAAATATTAAAAGTGATTTTTAAAAAGAATTATGTAAACCAGAAAAAAAGACCTGTAACTCCATAACTCAAAGATAATAATTGGTCTAAGTTAGTGATCATTTTCTGAGAACAGGTTCTCAGAAGTAATTTTATTAGGTACAAAGGTTGAACAGATCATGGCAGCAAGGAATATTTCAGATCTTTTACAAATAGTAGAAAAGTGAGCCTCATGTTTCTTTGCTTATTTTTGAGCTTGAGCACATCATTTCTTTAGCCCTTTTGTGAGATTTTGCTCAATTATTTGGTTCATCTTAACTGTATGGGTATATCAGAGTTTTTAATTTTCAGCAAGTTACATATCATTTAATAAATATTAGCATTATAGCAGACATTTTATCTACCATTACTTTTAGTCCTTGATTTTTACAAAAATATAAGATAAATATTTCAGAAATAGACAACAGTTTAAAGAGTGATATAATCAAAACCTGTGTAGCCTTATGAAATAAAACATGATCAATACTTTCGTGCACTCCCTCATCTCACCTTCCTTCCTCTCCACCACAATGAAGTAACCATTACTATGACCTTGAGGCCTATCATTGCATCTCTTAATACTTTTATTATATACTAGAAGCCCGTTGCACGAAGATTCGCGCAATAGGCCTTCCTTCCCCTGGCTGCTGGCACCGGTTTTCCTCAGGCACCCGGGACCCAGGCCTCTGGTATGGCCACAGCGGAGAAGCCAAACCTCGAGGCTAGGCTTTTCCCCTCCAGCTGCAGCTAGGCTTGGCTTCTCTGCTGCGGCCGCAGCAAGGCTTGGCTTCTCCGCTGCAGCTGCAAGCCTCTTCAGCCTTTAGTCTTTGCTCCATGCCTGTGTATGCAAATTAACCACCATCTTTTTTTGGGTTAATTTGCATATTCGCTCTGATTGGCTGGTGGGCGTAGCGGAGTGACACCAATTTGCATGTTTCTCTTTTATTAGTATAGATGTATTTATGTCAGAATAACACATAATTTTGTTTTGCAGGTTTCTAAAATTTATATTGAAAGGTAATGTGCTATATTTTCTATTGTCACTTCCTTTTTAATTCATCATATTTCTAAGATTCATCTACATAGAGCTGTAGCTCTAGTTCCCTGATGTGCATCAACATATAACAATTTACGAATCAATTCTTTTGTTGAAGACATGTTCTTTTTTCTCCCTCCACACAGACAATGATACTATAAACAAACCTGTTTATTCCTTGTGTTTATAATCCAAGATTTTCTCTCCGTGTACATGTGCAGGAGTGAAATTGCTCATTTGTAGGGTAAGAATATGTTCAACTCTGCTGGAAAATTTAATCTCCAAAGAGGCTGTAAGAATTAACCCTCCAACCAACACCTATGCTTTTTATTTTGATACATTAATAATTTTAAATTGAATGTTTTCTTTTGTTATTTCTTATAACACTTTTAGATTTTTAAAAGGATCTCATTACCATGCGATTTGATAGATATTACATTTTATTTTTTTTGGTTCTACTCTCTGGCATTTTATATTTAACTAGAGGCTCGGTGCACAAAATTCTTGCACTTGGGGGGTGGGGTCCCTCAGCCCGGCCTGAACCCTCTCGCAGTCCAGGACCCCTCGCTCCTTACCTTTTGGCTCGCTGCTCCTTAGTGCTGCCGGAGGTGGGAGAGGCTCCCATCACTGCTGCTGCGCTCACCAGCCATGAGCCTGGCTGCTGGCTGAGTGGCGCTCCCCTTATGGGAGCACACTGACCACCAGGGGGCAGCTCCTGCGTTGAGCATCTGCCGCCTGGTGGTCAGTGCGCGTCATAGTGACCAGTCATTTGGCCATTCAGTCGATTTGCATATTAGTCTTTTATTATATACGATACTGTCTTTTGGAGTTTCTATTACTGTAAGTGATAAGTCTGAGAAGTGATTTATGTCCAACTGTCACACAAATAATCCCAATTGTTATTTTCTTGCATTCATTAATTCATGTTACTTTATTATACATACTAGAGGCCCAGTGCATGGATTCGTGCACTGGTGGGGGCGTGGGCTGCAGGGATCGGCCCGCTGTGGGAGCGCTGCTCATCCTGGTCAGCCAAGCAGTGCTCCCACTGTGGGAGCACACTGACCACCAGGGGGCAGCTCCTGCATTTAGCATCTGCCCCCTGGTGGTGTGCGTCATAGTAACTGGTAGACCAGTCGTTGTGATTGTTCTGCCATTTGGTCACTGGGCTTTTTATATATATACTAGAGGCCCGGTGCATGGCTTCGTGCACTGGTGGGGTCCCTTGGCGTGGCCTGTGGGGGTTGGGCCGAAACCAGTAGTCCAACACCACCTGAGGCTCCTGCCTGCCGCTCCCGCTCATCTAAGCTCTGCTGCGCCTGCTTTGGGCTCGCGCCCAGTCAGTCCTGATTGGGAGAGGCTTGTGCTGCCATAGTGGCGCTTGCCAACTGTGAGCCCTGCCTCTGGCACCTGTCAGTCAGCTGAGCTGAGCGGTGCTCCCCTTGTGGGAGTGCACTGACCACCAGGGGGTAGCTCTTGCATTGAGAGTCTGCCCCCTGGTGGTCAGTGCACGTCATAGTGACCGGTCATTCGGTCGCTTAGGCTTTTATATATATATATAGATAGACAGATAGTACATCCTTACTTGTAATAGGTTCTGCGGTGTCCTGTGGGTCTATTATTCTACTGGTACTGGTACTATTCTGCTTCAATTTGTATTTATTTGTTCAACTGTTAAGCACTGAGATCCTACTCAGGGTACCATGCATAAAGTGATTATAAAATCCAAACACACTGATATGACCCTTCTCCCTCAGGCCACTTGTAAAATGGATGTTAATAAACAATTAAAGAACAGACAATCCAAATTATGTGAATTTTTATAAAACATATAAACAAACTGCTAAGCTTGTTAAAGAACAAAAGGGAGCACTTTCAAAGATAAGTGGATCCAGGGACAGTCATTTGAAAGTGAAACATGATGGATAAGAGAAGCCACTCATGAGGCAAAGAAGAGAGAGCATTTTAAGGAGAGAGAACAGGTGTGGGAGCTCTGACAAGGGGGGGAAACTGTGGATGTGAGCAGAAACAAGAGACCCAGTGCGAATAAAAGCTGGTGGAAGATAGGAGAGGGGTACCAGACGAGAATAAAAGATAGATGAATAAGATTATGAGACCTTGCATGCCATGGAAACAGAACACCGATGGAAAAAAGAAGTCAACAAGTGACATTGAGAAGGAAGGCAGAGAAGTGAGAAATGAGAGAATGAATTCAATAGGGTAGCTTCCAGATAGAAATGGTCAGTAGGCAGGGACAAATAGAACTTAAATTAGGGACAAAAACATCACATAAAAAATACATTGAAAATATATAAGTGCATTAGCAAACAAAACCTACCAGCCATTTTTCATATTCATCAATAGCCTGTTTATCTTTATCTTTTTTCTCAGCTCTTTTCAGTTCTTCTTTCCTTTTTTCATTGATTTTCTCTTTCCCCTTTTCTTTCAAAAAAGCTTCTTTTTTTTCATTCCTATGTAGGATAGTATAAAACACTGGAAAGTTAAAGGAGAACATATAATAAACATTTCCTAATATATCTTTGAAATAAGGAAATCGAGATGCATTAGTAAATTTCAAGTAAATAATTTTTAGAAATCCTAGAGTACCACCATTTAAAATCTATCAAAAATACTGATTATTTTGGATTACCATTTTTCCACAGCAGTTTGGTTGTCTTTCTTTTTCTCAGCAATAGTTTCCTCCTCCTTCTGTTTCTTTGCTCTTTCATATTCTTTTTCCTTTTTATTTTTCTCTTTAAGATATTCTATCTTTTTTTCTTTCCATCTTTCAAAAGCCTGAAAAAGTTCAGAATGATTTTCTGATTTATTATGGATATTGTAAAGTCAGTAAAAATACAGTCAATCACTAATTCAGATTTCAAATATTTAAAATGAATTAAAATATTCAAAGCTGTCAAATACATGTTGTGCTTCTTCTTTTCTCGCAGCATTTTCTTCTTCAGTTTTCTTCTTGTTTTTGGCCTCAAGCCTTTTTTTTGCAGCTATTTTCTTAGCTTCCTTTTCCTTCAAAGCCTTCCAGGCCTCAAATGATGCTAAGGCTTCTTCTCTCTTAGCAGCTCTTTTCTATTTTGGAGAAAAAGTAGATAGTTATATATGTATGTACAAATAGCTAGACAAATATAAATATACCCCCAAATATATTTAGCTTTAATTTCCTTGATATGCATCATATACAGAAATTATGTTTCAAAGCAGATAATTTATTTAGAATGGTTTATACAAATTAATTTATGAAAAATATATTCTGAATTATTCACTGCATTTTAAAATGTCCTTTACAAAAATACATTTTATCAACTATTGATCTATTACTATTCATGGGAAGGAAATCAACTTTTTTTTTCAAAGTGTATACAAACATCAGCAATATAATCTGTAATAGGCTCACTGGTACTGTAAAATGTTCATAATAAAATATTTAAGTAAAAGAAAAACAGCAAAGTACTAGGCTTATAAAGAAATTCTGAGTAAGGGAATTTGGCCACATCACACAGTAAGCTACAGATCTTTGCTTTGAACAGAGTTTTGATTAACATCAAAGCATAAAATTCTTACTCCGTAAACATAGTCCAAATGGTGAACATGTGGCAGACTGGAAAATATGTAGGTGAGTGTTATTAGCAAGTATTTTATTACTTTATTTGCTTCCATCTAATCCCATAATATCCCATGCTTGCCTCAATACTGGTTAACATTAAGTGATATAAAGCCTTATTATGGAGATAACATAATTTAGAAGTAGAAGGACTACCTAACTCACTGAGTTGTGAAGATCAACTGAGAAGTGTCTGGCACTGACCACAGCAGTAAGATGCTGCAAACATGGTGACAGGTGTACAGACACGCCCCTTCAGGGCTGCTCCACATAGTACTGTGTTTGGGAAATTTCTTTCTAAACCTACTTAAGTACTATATAGCATAATGAAAATTTTTTGTTGTTGCTGGGTTTTTTTTTCCTCAGGGCTTTTATTTTAGAAGATGGGAAAGAACTCAGCATGCTAGGCTATCAAGTAGGAGTTAGAGGCAGAGGTTGAAGCACAGGAGAGAAGTAAACAAGAGTTCAGCTCCAGTCAATGGGAAGGATGTGGGTCAAGGGCTCAGGTAGGGGCTGGTCTTTAAGATACATATGAAATCCAAGTTAGAAAAAGGAAAACTGAAGATTAATGTTAATGGCCCTTTATATTCTTGGCTAAGTTGTAAGAATATAAATCAATTTTTAAGAGTGAAGTAGGTAAGTAGTCACAAGCAATAATTAAGTTCATAATCAGTAGTGCTAAAGCTATTCCATACATATAAAAAATAAAAATCTGTGTATCTGTTTTTCATATAAAATAGTTATAACATATTTATAATCAAGCTAAAAATGTATAAAGCTCCAGAGAAAATCAGAAATCAATTCCTTTATATACAAGTTATTCTGCCATTTAAAAAACAGTTGATTTAGAAATATTTAATACTGAGATGTTTTACTGACTTAAAAATCTAGAATATTGTTTACTTTTATGTTTCAGAATACCTGTTCATTTTCGATCCTTGAATTTTCACTTTCAATCCTTTTAATTCTGTGCTTTTCATGTATTTTTACATTTTTCTTCTCTAACCACTCCTGTGAGAACAAGAATAAAGCTTTGATATTCAAAGTTTCCAAAATAAATTTGAGTTCTTATATATTTCAGAAATATTATATTAAAAACTATGGAAATCAAAATAGATTTTATAAATTCTATATTATTTTTCTTTTTCTGATAATATCCTATATAATAAAAGGCTAATATGCAAATAGACTGAACAGAACCACCGGAACAACTGAATAATTGGTCACTATGACGTGCGCTGACCACCAGGGGGTGTGTGCAGAACACGGTGGGCATCGGCTGCGGTGGGATGGTGGAGCAGGTGAGCGGGGGCACCAGACCAAGGAAGGCGCCAGTTGCTGTCATCAGGGCAAGCCTCTGGTGGTTACTAAAATTTTTTTGTTCCCGCACGCCGCGGTCCCGCCTGGCGCTTGCACCCACTGCCAGCATCAGAGCTGCTGCTCGCACCCACAGCCAGCACCGGAGCTGCCCCTCACACCCGCTGCTGGTGCCCGGCGCCAATCCCAATTGCTTGGCACCATCAGAGGGTGTGAGTGGAGGCTGCCGGCCCTGATTGCCTCTGAGGGTTTCTCCACATCCCCCTGCTCCTGAAGGCGGATCAGGGCAGCAGCCACCACTCACACCAGCTGATAGTGCCAGTCCTGCTTGCACCCACTGCTGGCGCCGGCCCCAGTCAATCCACACTGTCAGCAAGTATGCGCAGGGCCAGCGCCGTCAGCGCGTGGGAGCGGCGGTGGTGGGAGCAGGGTGCTGGCAGACAGAGGACCAGGGGAGAGACAGGGGTGTAGAGGATGGGCTGAGACCCACCTCTGTGCCTACTTCAGCCTGGTGGCCCACAATTCCTTTTGAGGTGCACGAATGCATGCACTGGGCCCCTAGTTCTAACATAGAAAGATTGCTGGGGTATTATAAAAAAAATATTTCCCAATAAATTAAGTATTAAATTATCATTTCTGATGGGGTAATTTTATTCCTTGATAAACAGGTAACCTTATGTGATTAGTTCTTACAATTATTATTATTATTGTTATTACTTTTTACCTGATAAACAGCTGCCCTTATGTTATCTGCTTTGTCAGGTTCTTTGTTCTGTTTGTGTGAGGACTTTTGATCCAAGACTTTCAAAGTCCCTAAATAGTGAGAAGAGGTAGTTTTCGATGGAGTTCTCCTTATAGAACTAGAATTCTTTAAAAACTCAGAGGTCATTAATCTGAAAAAAACCGCAACAAATAAATCAAGATAAAGTATTAAAATTGGACTTCATTGAAAAACATCTGTAAGAATTTGCAACTACTACATTTGAAAACTACATTCTAACTTAATAAATTATAATTGCTTTGAATATCATGTATAGTCTTTTCTTATTATACAGAGACCCATTCGAGATATTTTAAATTTTGTAACTTCCAGTTATATAACTTCAAAGTGACTGCTCTTTTTAGGTATTTGCAATGAGAACATTTTTAACAAACATGGACTGTATCATAAGTTACCTGAAAAAAAACACCCAATATTAATAAAGTAAGTTTTAACAGTTTCTTGTGTTACTTTGTTACATAAACTATTCTAAATATAAAGTTAGAATGGTATCCTCTATTTCAGGGGTTGGTGGGAAAATCTGGCTCATCCTCTGTTTTGGTAAAGAAGGTGACCAAGTAACAGCTACATATTGTCTGTGGCTGCTTCCTGGCCTCCGCAGCAGAACTGAGGAGTTACAACCCAAGCTGGACAGTCCACAAAGCACAACAAATGTACCAAGTGGCAACTTACAGAGACAGCGTGCTGACCCTGTTCTAGTTGATCAATGATAATTTAAAAGATTCCGAAGGTTTGATTAGCAGTTATGAGTTAATGTTCATTATCACCATCATCAGCGTTTAACAACTTAGTCTATAGAACCTCAAGGCTTTGAGTATAATTTTTTATGTGTTAGTAAAAAACACTTAATAGAGAAATATAATGCTGGACCTCAGCTTTATTACCACTTTATATCTACTGTCTCAGGACAATCAGGAGAAACTCTATCCCAGAAGGAATGTGGAGTATGGAGAATCCTAACCAACTTAGGGTTTATATCATGAAGTAACTACTCCATTTATCTCATGAGATGGGAATTAAGAGAAAATCAAGTAACAACAAATGCAATTTATAGAAGTTCAACTAGCTTTGTGTAATGTAAACCCATAAATAAGAGATGATGAGAACTTGATTACCTGCCGGAGGCACTGGATGCTCTATTATTTGCTGACTGTTTATTCTTCTTATTTCTATCTTCAGTTGTTTTCTAATAAACAGAAAAGGCCATAGATGGATTACTTCCCATAACTATCACAGTGAGGCTTGGAAGTCAAACTGTCAGTAGTAAACAAATGTTTCTTAAATTTCTACAGAGTGTTCAAGTACAGTACTCACTGGTAACAAAGGATTTTACATTTTAGAGAGAGTTGACAGACTATATAAAAGGCTAAGTGACTGACCATATGTCTGTCCAACCATCCTACTGTCCAGTACATATGACGCACACTGGCAATTTAAAAATAAACGTTGACTCATGCATGCATGATACATATTCCCAACTTCTCATTATTGATTAATGCACCATGGTATCCAGTCATGCTATAAACGCCATAGATAGATTATTAAGAGAAATTATGAATTTGAATGTGACATTTGGTGGGAAAGTTCTCTTCCTCGGAGGAGATTTTCGACAATGTCTCAGTGTTGCGCCGCATGCTATGCGATTGGCCATAGTACGAAGAGTTTAAAGTACTGTGGTGTTTGGGGATGTTTCAGACAGTTGTCTCTGAAAACAAATATGATATCTGAGTATTCCGCTTATAGAAAATGGTTAGTAAAACTTGGAGATGGCAAACTTGATAGCAGTTTTCATTTAGGAATGGATGTTATTGAAATCCCCATGAAATGATTTGTAATGGATCTATTATTGAAGCTACCTTTGGAAATAGTGTATCTATAAATAATATTAAAAATATACCTAATTGTGAGATTCTTTGTCCTAAAAATGAGCACGTTCATAAATTAAATGAAGAAATTTTGGAAATACTTGATGGAGATTTTCACACCTATTTGAGTGATGATTCCATTGATTCAATGGATGATGCCAAAAAGGAAAATTTTCCCATAGAATTTCTTAATAGTATTACTCCTTCGGGAATGCCATGTCATAAATTAAAATTGAAAGTAGGTGCAATCATCATGCTATTGAGAAATCTTAATAGTAAATGGGATCTTTGTAATGGTACTAGATTTATTATCACAAGATTATGACCTAACATAATCGAGGCTAAAGTATTAATAGGATCTGCAGGAGAGGTTGTTCTGATTTCAATAATTGATTTGTTCCCATCTGACACTGGCCTCCCATTTAAATTAATTCAAAGAGTTCCTATGATGCCAGCATTTGCAATGACTATTAATAAATCACAAGGACAAACTCTAAACAGAGTAGGAATATTCCTACCTGAACCCGTTTTCAGACATGGTCAGTTATATGTTGCTTTCTCTCGAGTTCGAAGAGTGTTGATGTTAAAGTCAAAGTTGTAAATACTTCATCACAAGGGAAATTAGTCAAGCACTCTGAATGTGTTTTTACTTTTAATGTGGTGTACAAGGAGATATTAGAATATGTGTAATCAATTTATCAGTCATTGTTTTTATCAATGTTGTTTTTATATCATGTTTTTGTTGTTTTTATATGATTTGTTATTTTTATATCACATCATGTTATTGTTTACTTATTTATCAATTTATATATTATTTTCATAAACATTTTACTAATTTTCTTTCATCTCTGAGACTTCTATTATAAAGAGTGAATAGTGATATTAAAATATTTTGTATTTTAATTTTATAATACTATATTACATATACTATTTTGGCATGTAATTTTTTGCAGTAATGTAATTACCACACAAATCTTTCTTCTAATTAATTTCCTTTCAATGTGCACTGGGCCACTAGTAAAAAGATAAACAAAGGTGATTCATGAAAGAGTCCGGTGACAGAGTGACTGGAGCGGAGAAGAGGGAGGGCCTCCATGAGGACTTGGCATCAGAGCTAAGAAAAATGAACAGTAGAAAGGAGCCACCTGAAAGAAGGTGAAAAGAAGGACCAGTAAAAGCCTGAGAAGGGAAAGAGCTTGGTAATTTTGAGAAACAGAGAGAGATGAATGCTGCTGAAGCCCAGTGGACAATGCAGAGAGAGGAGGAATATGTGGTCCAAGAAGAATCCCTGGAAATCTTTAGGGAATAGTGAGAAGTTCACATTTATTCTCATGATGAGAATCCAACAAAGAGACCTTAGCAGGAGAGCAATTTAATTTCCACATAAGAAAGATCACTCAGTAACAAGAATAAAGCCAAGGATAGATTCAATTGAAAGAAATATGTTATGATCTTGTCATATGTAAATTACCTGTTTTCATTTAGAATAACCTCTGTTAGACATTTCTAAGATTCTGTCTATAAATTCCAGAATACTCTTCTTTATTTTTTAGGAATAACTTTTTTACTCTACACAGACAGATGAGTTGCTAGCATTACAGATGTAAACATATCCCTAATTTGGCATTCGTCTTTTTTCCTAAGGTACGTGGTTAAGGACAATATATCTGAAACAAGGCTTAATGAACCTTCTCTATACATTTTAATAAAAAGCTAATAGTCTGTATTATAATAAAGTCCTATTCAAGCACAAGTTTTCAGCTAGCACTGTAATCTTTCCCAATAACAAATATACATAGCCACCAGTCAACTGCAGCTATAAGTGATACAGACTGCTATGCCATAAATTTTAAAAGTACAGCACTCTGGTGCAATGCAGCACAGGGACAAATAATCCTACACACCACAGATTTGGTTCTCAAGGTTATAATAAAAAGTTTCTGATAATGACCCTGTCCATCCATTTTAACATGGATGGATGTTGATAAACATTTCTTCTTAAAGATTTTCATTAAAATTTGTAAAATGTTTAAAGATGATATCCAAAGAAATAACCTTCACTAATTAAAACCTTGGCAATTGTTCCAGATGGCTGCATTTTTAAATGAAGACCTATAGAAACCTATCCACTTATGTGTACGTATTTCTGATATATTTAAAAGTATATTACCATATACTTCTGATAATTTTAATGAAAAAAATAAGTTTTATTATATTCACTGAAACCTTCCCTGAAGTTAAAATTCTATTGAATTAATTAAGAACCACTTGATAATACCACAATCAAAGATGAGTTTTCCACAGATAATTCAGAAGTATCAAATATGGAAAACAAAATAAAGTTGTATTTTGAGCTTTAAAATATAAAAAGGTATAATTTTATACTAATACCTTTGCAGATTCAGTTGCACTTGTAGATCTTAAATTCTGCTGAGATAGTGGTGGATCAACAGTTAAGTCATCATTCATTTCCAATTTAACTTTCTCCTTGTTTTCTTCAAGGTCATCAGAAGTCACTTGCCCTTCCTTGGATTTCTCAAGTGCAGAAGTAACAAAGTCTATCAAAAATGAATTATCTTCATTTTCGTCTGATTTCAAGGAATGATGGTTTTCAGTGAATTCTTCATTTCGATCTATTTTGAGACAGAGTAATAGCACTAAAACTCCACTGTAAATTAACAAGGTGTATAAGAGATTCATTTGCTTTCCACTAGATGTCATTAATCCCTTTTTCTTACAAAATAAAATATGCAGAAACTATCATATTCAACTTGAATAAACTTTTATTCCAGTGATCTACAAAAGAGAAAATTGTTACTCAACCTACTAAAACATCGATGTACCAAATGCTTAGAAAATTAGTAAACAGAATGGAATAACTACCCTACACCGAAGACACACCAAAAGCGCTTGTTGATCTATAAACCAAGTAAGTCAGATGGCAATATCAATTGTCTTCAAAAGCCTGTTTCTTAGCTGTAACAAGAGGCTTTGTAAGTAGGAGACACACATATCTATGCTATTACAGTTCTCAGTAGTGCAGATGTAAAATTGTATAGGTGCAGGGAGAACCAAGAATGCATGTCACTCTAGTATAGTCCACCACAGAGAGAGTAAAGCCACCCTCTAAAGCAGTGGTTCTCAACCTTTGGGTTGCGACCCCTTTGGCAGTCGAACGACCCTTTCACAGGGGTCGCCTAAGACCATCCTGCATATCAGATACTTACATTACGATTCATAACAGTAGCAACATTAAAGTTATGAAGTAGCAACGAAAATAATTTTATGGTTGGGTCATAACATGAGGAACTGTATTTAAAGGGCCAGAAGGTTGAGAACCACTGCAAAGAGTTTTATTCCCATTAAGATGCAGTATTGCCTCTGATACCAAGGGGGCACTAAAGGCAGTTTATTTTTGCATTATTATTTATTATTATATTACTTATTTACTAGAGGCCCGTTGCACGAAGAGATTCATGCAATAGGCCTTCCCTTCCCCTGGCTGCAGGCACCGGTTTTCCTCTGGCACCCGGGACCCAGGCCTTAGCTCCGGCCGCTCGCTCCAGCCTCAGTGGAGAAGCCAAGCCTTTTCAGCCTTCTATCTTCACTCCACACCTGTGTACGCAAATTAACCACCATCTTTGTTGGGTTAATTTGCATACTCATTCGATTGGCTGGTGGGCGTAGCAGAGTGAGACCAATTTGCATGTTTCTCTTTTATTGTGTAGATATTAAAACTGTAAATGTACTTTTGCCCACCTGTGCATTATTTCTTTTACAAATATAAGCAATTGAGTTCACAGATAAAATAAGATACAATAATTTGATATAATCACCTTTTATAGATGTTTTTTCCCCAGATCCTGGTGAAAGGGAATCTCCAAAACTTTCTTTAAGGGATGATGATGACAAACTTGTTAACCATGGATCCTGCTTAAAATAAAAGATAATAAAAAAGTATTTATTAAGTTAGGTCAGTTCTCAAGATTTATGGAGGACAATAGCATTATTAAGACTATTTCATAAGTCTGACATCTGCATTTTTAGGAGTTTGCTGATGCAACACCAAAAGCTTGTTAAGCTAGTGGAGGCTAAGATGCTTTATTTTCAAGCCTCCATGTCTTGATCATTAAAAGGGGTCACTACAGCCTTAGCCGGTTTGGCTCAGCGGGTGGAGCATTGGCCTGCGGACCAAAAGGTCTCAGGTTCGATTCCGGTCAAGGGCACATACCTTGATTGCGAGCTCCTCCCCAGCCCGGGCCCTGGTCAGGGATTGTGCAGGAGGCAACCAATGTGTTTCTCTCACATTGATGTTTCTCTCTCTGTCTTTCCCTCTCTCTTCTCTCTCCCTAAAAGTCAATGAAAAAATATCCTCGGGTGAGGATTAACAAAAAACCAAAAACACATACACACAAAAAAAGGGGTAACTACAGAGCTATTCTAGTTCTTTAATAAATATCTTTACATTTATTTTTAGCAATTTTTAGAATTTCTGCTACTCTAAAATCAAATCTCATAAATATTTAAGGTAAAGATTTGATATCTATTTCTCTAATTCTCCATTCTAAGCATAAAGATGCCAGTAGGTAAAAATCCTTACTTTGAAACAAATATTACTAGGCATCCAAATGAAAGTAATTATAAAACCAAGTACATAGCTACTTACAAATATCTAAGATTTTATGCACCTCAGTTTTCTTCAAAATTCTAAAAATTACACTAAATGAAATCATTATATTTGTGTTTCTAAAGTAAACATCTCTTTATAGAACAGCAATCCAATCCATGGAGCTCTGTAAAAAATCAATAAAATATATTTAAAAAAAAAAGGCAATAGAGGAATTACAATGGAAAACAAAAAATATGTGACTGACTCATAAAAAGGCAGTAAAGGATTTATAGAGGAACAGTAAGAACAATATCAATTAAAAAAATGGGTAAAATAAATACAAAGCAAACAGTAACAAACTGGCCCTATATGTACTTATATTAAAAGTAAATAGACTAAAATAAAATAAAATATTTAAAAATAAACAGACTAAATACTTATGAATGCTATAATGGGCTCATAAATAAATGGGCTACCACTAAAAGGAGATTGTCAGACTTGATAGAAACATGACATCAAACTGTTATTACAAAAGAGTCACTTAAAGAGAAACAAATAGTTTGAAAGAAAAATGATAAAAAAAAATATTTACCAAGCAAACAGTCATCATAAAAAAGTTGACACATCACACAAAACAAACTGCAAAATAAGGAGTATCACCAGATAGAAATATTTCATAATGCGAAATAGGGTCAAGACATAAGTGTATGATGTGTCTAATAACAGAGTCATAAAATACTGGCAAACTGAAAGGAAGTATAAACAAATTTGCAAGCATAACTGGAGATTTTAACACTGTTACATGGTACTAGGAGAATCAACTAGATAAAAGTCAGTGAGAATGGGGAAGACATGAGTGATACTGCCAGGCACCTTGAGCAAAATAAAATTATAGACCATTATATCTAACAACTGCAGAACACATATTTTTTTGAAAAAGCAAATGGAACTTTCACAAGATACACTTAGGTTGGGCCATAAAAATATCTTAATTTTTTAAAATGTGAAATCATATAAGATATATTCTTTTATCACAATAAAATTACAATAAAATCTTTTGTATTGAATTATAATTTATCTAGAGAAGGTCCAAATATTTGGAAATAAAATCATTAGGCACAAAATAACCAATTGGTCAGAAAAAGAGATCATAAGGGAAATTAGAAAATAGATTTAAAGAAATGAAAATGAAAATAAATGGCATCAAAAAAAATTGGGTGCTGCTAAAGCAGTGCACAGAGGGAAATTTATAGCTTTCGATGGTTTTATTAGAAAGAATGAAAAAGGCTTTTAAAATCAGTGGACACATTTTAAAGGTAAGGAAATTAAACCCAAGGAAAGAAATAATAAAGAGTGAAAATCAGTGAAACTGTAAATAAACTATAGAGAAAATTAACAAAGCCAAAGTTGGTTCTTTGAAAAGTTTAATAAAACTGAGCAATGCTTATTAAGATTTAACAAGAATAATAGAAATTATAAATTCTATATTAGAAATAAAAGATAGAATGCCATGATAACACAAATTTCTTAATGGAAGTTAGCCAGGCACCATATAGTTCCATTTCCCTGATCTGCTAAAGCACATTATGGAGCAGGAAACCTTCCCATACTCATCCCCTCTGAAATGTGAGGTGGAAGTTTGCTAATGATAGTGAAATGTAAAGACAGGTGGCCACATGTTCTCCCCTAATGATGATACATAATAAACTTTCTGATGAAATCCTGAAAGATCACATTTACTTCCATTTTTTAATGTCTCTGAAAGTACAGGACAGTGCCATCAACATTCAATAAATAAAACCAAATGAGAACACTGACCCTGGCTATACTGTCCTTAGTTGGCATGGATAATAAAGGGTCACATAGCAAAGCTTACAAACTCAGGGGAGGTGGGCCCTATAAACACAGAGACCAAAAGTAACCGCATAGGATGGTCTGAACATCAAAATTCCTCACTAAAAGCAGGTCATGGCAGGTAGTCACATCCTAAGCCTACGGCTTCCTTGACAAAGGTCAATCTTTACCGTAGGTGAGCCTATTATCTTTTTGCATCTAAGATACATACCTTGGAAATGTCAATCCTCAGGGCACACCCACCTCACCAAAGCAAGAGGCCACAGAACCCCTCATTGTTACTTGTTTCCTGAATACCATCTCTATGTGCTGTAAATGTTCATTGTTAGCTACCCCGTACCCAGCAATGTAAAAAAGTATGTGTCTCTCCATTTTACTTTTCATCCAGTCCCAGAGATTTCCCTGCTTTGCTTTCCCCTACTCCCTAATCATTATACCACCAATGATTTCATGTATCCCTCCTGAGACTCCTCCTTTGATTCTAATGTATAAAATAAGCTGCAAAACTGTCATTTTCCAGAAAATATTCTCCATTTGTTGAGATTTTGCTTTGTGGCCACTGTTGTCAGTTTGGCTCAAACAAACTCATAAAAATTCTCTACAGGTTTGGCCATTTCCTACACCGACACTGCAAATTATATAATGCAAAAATACATAAATAAAAAAATAAAGTTTTACAATTAAAGTTATACAATATTACATAGATTCAAAAGGGCAACATTTTTTTTTACATTCTACTTTCTTTGAAATTGGATGCATATTATAATTACTGTTGTGTTATGGCTTAATTGGCAGAATTTTATTCTCTCATGGCAGTACACGATATAATGCTGTATATTTGTTACATCTTACAATTGATGGCATTTCAGATTCAATGAAATACAGTATATTAAAAAAAAACACATAAAATTATGTCCATATCAACTGCTGAAGAAAACATGGAACACACACACATACATGCATAGAAATTTTCTCTCTCTCATGATTAGATGCCAAGGCCTGAATGGGAGAACACAGCTCGGCAGTTCAGCAGGAATACTAACCTCAGGGTCAAGGTCTTCAGAGAATGTTTTTTCCTCAGCTTCTGGCTGTCTTTCCTTCAGCTCTGGGAGGGATGAAGGTGCAGGATGTGCCTCTAGTTCTTCCCGGAGGGCAGTTTCTCTCTCTTCTCCCAGCCCATCTTTTTCTTCCTGGAGCCTGTGCTTTTTCAACATGCTCCTTGGCCGAGGTGAAGGTGTGAAGTGGTTTTCTGCTTCAAGGCTGCTGCTGTTTTCTGCTGAAAAATGAAATATTTTAAGGTTTGTGTACAAAACCTAACCATGGCTTCAACAGCACCCCAAGGTGCCACCATGCTTCCTCCTGAGCCCACTACACAGAGCTCCAGTGAGCACGGAGAAGCGACAGTTCATAATCCAATTTTTTAAAAATGGCTGCCACCCTGGAAGTAACTTTAGTTTTGTGAGAAGTTAGCTCCTCAACGTTATGAATTCTCATTGCATTAAAAAAAAATACTAAAAACAAATAAAATAAAGCCGTGGCCTATACAACGATGGGACTCATCTCTATCAAACCTTAACTGAGTCTCTGCTTCTGGGCCCTGTACATGTTACCACATCCTGGACCTCATAATCAGGACTGTGGCGGTCCTGTCCAAGGACTTCCCAGGTTGGGAAAGGGGTGGATTCTAAGGAAATAAATTACAAGACAAAGGTGAGAGCTGTTACAGGTATGGAGGCAACGTCGGTACAGGGGCTGGGCGTGCTTGCTCTCATGGGAGGAAGCAATGAAGAACTTTATGATTTGAGTCCTAGCTGGTTTGGCTCAGTGGATAGAGCGTCAGCCTGCGGAATGAAGGGTGCCAGAATGGATTCCAGTCAAAGGCATATGCTTGGGTTGCGGGCTCGATCCCCAGTAGGGGGCGTGCAGGAGGCAATCAATCAATGATTCTCTCTCATCATTCATGTTTCTCTCTCTCCCCCCCTCTCCCTTCCTCTCTGAAGTCAATAAAAATATATTTTTTAAAAAAAGGACTTGATGATTTGAGTTGTTCTTTGAGTTCATGAAACTTCTCGAGCAATTACTTCTAGGTTTAAAATAATAATCTAATGCCCGTATACTTCCAGCCCTCAAAACATAACAAAATTTTATATTAATTTTTGCCTAAATTTTACCTGTTCATATATTCATTTTTCCATTGTTCTACCAATGCAGTCTTCTGACAAAATTTCAAAACCAGACTAATTAACACCTTCCTCCTTTCTGCCTATAAATGGACTTATGAATGCTGTTAGAAGATTCTACAACCATACCAGTTGATACCAATGTAAATGTTTCATTGCCAATTTTAGCTATATCCTAAATGTTCAATCCAAATTCCAAGAGTCATCCTAGATTGTTCTCTCTGTTCCCCCATATCCAAGCATCACTTAATAGAATTGTGAAACTAAAAAAAAAAAAAAAAAAAAAGACCGTACCCTTTTATGTAATGATGTTTACTTTGAATTTATATTAGTTCACACAAACACTCCATCCATGCTTTTGTTCCGGCCCTCCGGTCCAGTATAAGAACCCATTGTGGCCCTCGAGTCAAAAAGTTTGCCCACCCCTGTCCTAGATTGTTCTCTCTGTTCCCCCATATCCAAGCATCACTTAATAGAATTGTGGGGGGGAAATAAAAAGTGGCTCCCTAATACATGTCAAGCATGTCAAACTAATGTTATCAGTGATATCTACTCTGTAAAAAATGTAATCTACCAGTACAATATTTAAGGTTGATAGGAAGGAAAGAATTATATGGCAGTTAACATCAAGTACTATTTTTCCTGTAAAACAGAAAAGAAAGAAGACCGTAGGACATAAAACCCTTAACCTTCCATGCCCATGTTTCCGTGTGGTGGCCCAGGGGACCTCGGAGGGGTTGGTTCCTGCTTACTCCATCTTTGGTCCACTGTGCCTGGAGCTCAGTGGAATTATGGAGAAACTACTGTAATTCCAGATCACACCAGGAATTTACTCTCGGAACACTGAGTTTCAGGGGATTTTTCCTAGGGAATAGAGAAACTAAATGGAGAATCCTCTTTCTAACAGCAAGTCTGGAGGCTTAACAGCAAAAACAACAAAACTCTCTTTCTTCAACTATATAAATGCCAAACAATATTCTGGCAAATGGTGGCATAGAAATGATTTTTAAGGACTAGTTCCAGTGCTGCTATAACTTTAATCTCTGGAGTATGAGATGGATTAGAAAGGATTCCATTGCAGTTTCATCCCTAAAAACAAAATTAAAGCTCATAGACTGAGGCAAGGCTGGACCCAGGAGCGTCCGGAGGCACAGCGGTGGATGCCGAAGGTACTTCAGCCTTCTATCAGGCACCAGCAAAGATGCTACACTAAATATACCACTATCCAAATTATGGGTTTCCTCCATGGTTCTATTATTTTGATTTCTGTCTGTAAAATTGAAAAGTTAAGTCTGATTATTTTCCCCCTCTTAAATATGAAGGCATTTTGTGCCTGGTTATCTTAAAATAACTTTTCAAGAAATGCAGTTATAGTGAGCTAACAAATTACCTGAAGCTGTGTTTTTGATTGGAAGAATTCTGGGTTTAGGTTTCATTTGGAGTTTCTCTTTTTCAGTTTCCTGGTCTTCATTTTGAGACTCAGATAAGGGATTTACAACCCTGTCTTCACAATTCCCAGGCGCCATTTCCTCGTCCTTTTTATTAGAGAAGCCTGGCTCCTCTTCCATTGAGTCACTATTTGATTTCTTGGTTTTCAAAAAAGATAGTTTAGGAGAATTATTTTCTTCATCATCTGATATCTGGAAATCATTTATTGTTTTCTTAAGTGAATTTTCATCTATAGAGGTGTCAGAAAAATCACCTAAGGAAACTGAAAAACAAAAGAAAAAAATGTCTTCAGTCGTATATCTTAAAGTTTGGAAGGTTACATTAGTCAAAAGATTGCCTTAAAGATTATAAATAAACTTAGGCAGTTTTTATTGGCATTTATAAAATACAAATTTTAATTTCATTAATTTATTCAAAACATACTTATCAAGTGTGAATAGTGGTGCCAAGCATTGTCCTTGCCCTGAGAAAAATCATCCAAAGTTTCCTCAAAGTAACAGTTGGCCATGAGATATTTAGATTTTGAACTGTAAAACGTTTATATGTAAACAACTTCATTAGATTTTACTATGAGAATAATAATACAAAATGTTCACTATATGGCAATGATGAAAGTAATGATTCATTTAATCATAAGCATTTTTCACTGAACCTTAAAGCATAAAACACTGAATTTCAAGTTTAAAATTCTGTATATTTACATCTAAATGTTAATATTTTAATATAATCAAAAGCAAATTAAATCATACCAGTACTGAAAACTGACCCCCGTATTACAGCCAAAAAAAAATCTGATTTATAAAAAGCATTATAAAAGTGATTTGGATGTGCATGAAGTTTAGTTCTATAGCCCCTAGTTATTAATTCACTGTAGAGTCTAATAGAGTTGATCTTAAAGATAAACTTAGTTTACCACTGACAAGCATCCTTTTACTGCAAACCTACTGCCAGTTAATTTATATTTTCATGTTCACATTCAGAAACAACCAAGGATAATCATACAACTTCTTGAAAATTAAAAGTGACTTTTTACTCGATATAAAGTTGCAAATCTAAACCTAGTGAATTCATAAATATAATTTTAGCATAGTAATTTTTTTTTTGCTGAATGAGCTAACTATAACTAAGAAAACAAAAAGAAGAAAAGTGGTTTACTGTTCCATATTCTCACATACCAATCTCATCACTGTCAAAGTCATCTGAGTATTCAGAGCTCCTTTGTCTGGCTGAGCGAGCTGTAATTGCTTTTATTAGCTCATCCTGAAATAAAAGAATTAAAATCAATTTCCACCCAAATATGAGGTATCATATTTAGAATTAATTATTTAAACAAATAGTGCTTGCTTAATGATTGCTTTCAAACTCAGGTTTTATTCATTTAATAATATTCACTGAAAGCCAACCTATGCCAGGAACCCAAGTCCCCAGACTCAATGCAGAACATTACAGATAAGGTTCCTCTCCTCATGGAGTTTACAGTCAAATTGAAGGAGATAGACCCATGGTCGGCAAACTGCAGCTCGTGAGCCACATGCGGCTCTTTGGCCCCTTGAGTGTGGCTCTTCCTAAGCCTTAGGAGTACCCTCATTAAGTTAATAACAATGTACCTATCTATATAGTTTAAGTTTAAAAAATTTGGCTCTCAAAAGAAATTTCAATCGTTGTACTGTTGATATTTGGCTCTGCTGACTAATGAGTTTGCCGACCACTGAGATAGACTATCAAATAAGGTAATTGAGACTCAGGCAGGATTTATTTTAAATTGGCATCTTGGAAGAAACTGGTACTTTTAAAGATCGTTTGTTTCTGGAGATTGCAGTAATGGATGTAATCAACACTGCAAATTTAGAGGCTGAGTTCAAAACTGTGGTGACTGGACAGAGAAAACTTCAATGTTGTTATGTTACAATAGAGAAAAACCATAAAACATTTATATGAAAATACTAATTTAAAGTTGCTATTCAACTTTGAAAAGCTAACTTAACTTTTAAGTTAGTAAGAACCTATCATTCAGGCTAGTTTGGTAATCTTAAACACACAGAATGGTTTGGAATACCACAGCCCAAACACAACCATCTGCAACATTTTAAAAGGAATGTAAGTCTTACTCCAGCTTTATATAGGATTCTTCCAAAAATTAGTGCAAATCAAATGTTCCTAACACAGTGTTTACTTATAAAAGCATTTCAAATAGTTTACCTGGAAAGTAGTTCTTTTGGTGACTTTTGGACTCTTTGTATATGCCAAAGTTGTGCTAAAAACTTCACCAGACATAGTGTATGGAATCTCTTTTTTTACTCATTACCTTTATAAAATGTTTAATAAATAACAGTAATAATTCAACCTCTAATGGTGGCTGAAATATCAAAAACAAATAAACAACCAAATTAGACATTTTGGCATGTTTGAGAGTTTCTAATATTATACTTAGTGCCCCCCAAAGCCAAACAAAAACAAGAAAAGCACCATGTAAACATTGAGGTACAGCTACACTTAACGTAGAGTTCTTGTAAAGATGAATCAAATTTTCATAACAAGTTTGTATAAAATATTCAAATTGAAGTTATCTTAAAATAATTTCGATATTTTTAAAGACAAACCAATAAATGAATGCAATCCTATATAATAAAAGGCTAATATGCAAATTGACCAATCAATGGAACAACGGGTCTACAGCGCACACTGACCACCAGGGGGCAGACGCTCAACGCAGGAGCTGCCCCCTGGAGGTCAGTGCGCTCCCCAAGCCTAAGCCGTCAGTCGGACATCCCCCGAGGGCTCCCGGACTGTGAGAGGGCACAGGCCAGGCTGAGGGGCAACCCCCTAACCGCCCCCCCTCCGCCCCCCAGCACAGGAATTGGGCCTCTGGTAGATTAATAGGATAAAATGTTGCCAACTAAACTACAAATTTTATTTCTCACCTCTCTTGCATTCAAAAATTATTACATTGCCAACAAAACAGTCATACTTACTTAAAAGGCTACCGAGAGGATTACCTGCATTAAAAAAGATAACTGAGTAACACCACCGAAAAGAGAGAGAAAAAAAAAAAAAAAGCTTGCACAGTGCTAGGGGAAGAGAAAGGTCATAATGCCAGCCTGCAAATAGCGACATTTTCCTCCAGCCACTGTTCCCTCTTACAAAGTGTTAATAGGGTTAGAAAAAAGGGAGCCCCGCGGTGGGCTGCATTCAAGTGCGTGTACAAATGGGCCCGTGAACGTTTCTCACACTCGCAGCGGAGGCCGGGTC